AAAAGTAAGTATGGAAATGTAAATATAAAAAATAAATATGAACAGTGCATAGAAAATTTTGAAGATAAAAAATTAAATATGAAAAGGGAATAGAAAATGTTGAAGATAAAAAATTAATATGAAAATCAAATAGAAAAGTGAAAAAAAAAAAGCTTCAGTCAGAAAATGTCCTGTTTTTCCAGCACACTGACAGATATTCCTTCCTGGAGCAATATTGTTTCCTAAATTCCCATTAATTCTTATTATTGAGTAGTTCAAATATCAGATATCAGGAGGAAGGTTGCCAGGCTGGTTTGGAGTGAAATGGGTCTGGAAAAACATGTTTAAATCTGTGATTTGTGTCTCCTAAAAATGGAATTTCGTGTTCTGTACACGATTTGTGTCTGGGGGTAAATCCCATTGGGTTTATACAGATCAGGAATTTCGTGGAAAAACTTCACTAAAAATCTGGCAAGGGAGGGGGAAAAAAAAAGTCTTCTTTTCTGTGTGTGGTGTTTTGAAATGTTGTCAGTGGTTCTGTGGTTAAAGTGAAGTCAAATCCGTGTTATTTTCCAAGCAAAGGGAAAATCTGTCTCTCAAAGCTGGCAGGAAGGAGCAGGGTGAACTTTTATTGTGTTTCATAAAATATGATTTCATTCCCGGTTTTGGGATGGGGCTTGGAGCAACCTGGGCCGCTGGGAAGTGCTGTGGGTGGAGCAGGATGGGCTTTAAGGTCCTTTCCAACCCAAACCATTCCAGGATCCTGGGATTTCTGGCATTTATCCATTTAAAAAAACTGTTGGCTTAGAAAGCAGCAGGAAAACCTTTAGCAATATTGAGGAAATCTTTTAAACTGACAAGTGCAAAGCACAAGGTCCTCGTTCTAACAAGTGGTTACAATAAAAAAAAAATCAGGTTTGAAGCGTGAAAATTCATTTCAGCTTTTTTTATTTTTTTTTTTTTATAGCTCATTTCAGCGTTATTTTTATATTTTTATATGGTTTTGTACCTCATCTGAGCTGAGCTGGGCTGTGGGTTTAGGCTCGAGGGGAATTGTTCAGTGGGTGTTTTAAACCTTTGCTCGCTGGCACAACCACAGGAATATTGGGAGGCATCAGCAGAGCTTTTCAGCTGCACAGGGGGACAGAAAAATGACACAGTGCCGACAAAATTGAGATTATGTTCTCCCTTGCTGCCAACTTTAGTGCAGAGTGTGGTAGGACTGGCTTTTAAAGCTGGCTGGAAACTTCCAGCTGTCAGATCAGTTGTTGAAATATGATTTTTTCCCCCCTTACCCGGTACATTGAGGACTTTATAATGATTCTTTCTAGCTTTTTGGTTGATGTTTTGGAATAAATTGTTGTGTGAGAAACTCGTGTGGGTCTGTCCTGAAGGTATGAACAAAATATTGTTAATTTTAGCCAACAGCTCACATTTGAAGGGAGAAGGGCACAAGCAGTTGGGGTTTTTGACTTACTTAATTTTACTTTTTCTCTTGAGCATCCCCCACCCTTTTGTGAGATAAAATACCATCACATGGACAATGTTTTTCCATGTTTTATATTAAATTCCTGGATTTTTTTTAATTTGAAAGAGTGGAGTGCTTTGCTATGCTGCAGCTGGGGAGATTGATATCCTTTATATCAATTGATATCCTTTATATCCTTCCGTGTTTTACCCCCACACTGAGGGATCAGCAGCTGCAGATGGAACACAAGTTCATTTTGCACATCCCATTAATTATTCCTTGTGTGTTGGTCCCTTCCCTAATTGTCTGTCTTGCCTTATCTGAAGCTTTTTTCACCCTCAATCTTGGTTTAATTAAAGCATAATACAATTTTTAAAATAGAAATCCATCCATTTGCATTGCATTTCATGACTTTATTGTAGGACTGGATCAAAGCTGGAAATGTTGGAAGTGTTTAACTCTTGAGTTGCTCCATTTCTGCCCTTACAATTCCAAGATTGTCTTCCCAATATTTTCTTTCCTTCTCTTCCCTTGTAAATTTTTTGAGGTGAAATCAGAGGGTTTTTGGTGCAGCAGGTTCTGCTCTAGACCCAACCTGGTCTGGTGGAAGGTGTTGGGAAGGAAGGGGGTGGGACAAGATGGGCTTTAAGGTCCCTTCCAGCCCAAACAATTCCATGATTCCATGACTGTCACAGCCCCTGTTATCCCTCTGTGTTTGCAGTGAGTTCATGTCTGTGTTGGGCTGGTTGGAATGTTGAGAAGGTAAATCCTGGTGGGAGGCTGTGACAGGAATTTCCTCCCTCCAGCTGCTCGTTCCTCAGTCCAGGGCTGTGCAAAAAAAAAGCTGCAGGAGTGCTTTGGGAAAGGAATATTTTTGGCTGAGCAGGAGAAAAGTGACTTTTCCCCAGAGCTCTGCAGAAATGACCCCCCCCCAGAGGAGCCTGGGGTGCCCCGTTCTCTCATCAGCACAGAGCAGTGGCCACTTCAAATTCACAAAAAGTTACCCAAATTCATTTCTTGAAAGGAATCCCAATATAAACTAGTTTGGCAATTCT